GTGGCTTGGTAGATTAGTGATGACTGGAGGCAGTTTCCATTAAGTGGGCATGTGTTCTTCTGTTTGCAGCTGCAAGTTTTGGTGTCTTTTGTGTTGGTGTTATCTGTGGTGTCATGGATGTGTTTGAATGAATTAAAAATGCATTTGTTGTGGTTGTTAATGGTCTGTTTAGTGTTATTCATGCATCTGTAGCAGATTTTGACTGTGTTATGATTACAGATTCTTCAAAGTTTGTGGTCTTTCAGGAAGTGCTTGTCTACTATGGCAAGGAATCTGTGTCTGATATTGGTGCTGACATTTTTGCTTAATGGGGAGTTGTACAAGAGTATGTTGTTCTGTTGACTGTCTTTTCGTTTGTTAGTTGTGGGTGGTTCATAATGTAGAGTGGACCAGTATCTGCATTTGTTGAGTGCTTTTTGACATGGAGCCGCCCCTCCATATCAAAAAGCACTTGACGAATGCTTTTTGATATGGAGGGGCGGCCCCATATCAATAAGCACTCTGAGAATGCAGATACTGGTGCACTCTATATTACCACCCACAACTAATGAACAAAAAAGCCAACAACGGAACAACATACTCTGGTACAACCCCCCATTCAGCCAAAATGTCAGCACCAATATTGGACACCAATTCTTTGCCCTATTAGACAAGCATTTCCCGAAAGACCACAAACTTAGAAGAATCTTTACTCATAACACAGACTTGTCACATGATCATCACGCCCATTCGGGGTTGTTCAGAAATATTTGAAAATATCTTGATCAGCAATGGACAGATTGTTTTCAAACTTGTCATTTTGCTTCTCTGATGATTGCAGTTTAATAAAAAATAACTGTGTTGCCTTTTGGAATAATGTAAGAATTGAAAAATATTAAAGATACTGGAAAATATAACCAAATTATAAATGTAACGCGTAACATCTCATTTGCATAAACCCGAAAATAAAGGTAAATTTCGTACTCAAAACAACATCAATTAGAAACTTCCATTATGCTCATTTATTGAGTAGGGCTTAAATACACCTTATGCCAAGAGACAGCGTTAAATGTTCGTTTTTAGAAGAACAGGAATAAAAAACTTGAAGACAGTCGATGTTTGTTTGCTTGTGTAACGCAGCAGATCCAACAGAGCTTTGCATGGTACATGTGCGGGTCTAGCATCTTGAATATACGCCTACATATACGCCTGTCTGACCGCCGCTAATTATTGCGACACGCGCGATTTCACAACAACAAACCAATTCGAAACAACAGCAAGATGAATAGAAAAAAGGAAAGCTCTTCGAATGCCGAAAAAATGAAGAAGTGGAAGAACAAAAGTTAGAGAAGAAAAGAGAAGCAGACAGAAAGTACTACGAGCGAAATCGTGAGCGCAAAATTGCCGACGTGAAAGAGTACAAACGCAAAACGAAGCAGACAAATGTTGGCGTGACACGGCGGTCTCAGCAAGAGAAACAAAAGCAATTTGCAGCTAAAAAGAAAAAACAAGAGGAGAAAGATGCAACCGAGGAAAGAAGAGAAAAAATTCGGCAGCAAACCAGAGAAAGAGTAAGACGATTACGGGAGAAACGAAGGCAAGAAATACGCCAAAGTTCAGATGAGGATACTGCCAGTCCTTCGACACCCACTTTACCGAACAGGATGGCAAAGAAAAGGGCACTGAAGAAAACGGTTGAAGCTATGCCAAAAACTCCGGAAAAAAAGGCGGAACATTTTGAAGCGATTTCATCTAGTCCAAGGACAAGAAAAGTTCTTCAAAAGAAAGGCGTAATAAAATCCCCTGAAGAAATAAAAGAAACTGTGGCACTAGGAGCCCTTGCGGCGGACATTTCGGAAGGAGCCGAACATGTTAAAAGGAGCCGCTCAAAGAACACACGAGCTGCGTATTCAGCATTTAAACATCTCGCCTTTGGTCAAAATGTTGCCAAAACCAGAGCGAAATAGACCCTTTCCACAATGGTAAATCTGGGACGGAAGAGCGTGGGAAAGGCAGTCAAAGAGCGCCAAAAAATATTATCGGGG